ATTTCTCGCGGCACCATCCTGACTTCCTCTCCAGCTGTTTAAAATAATGTTACTCCAGCTTATTTTTATGCCGACAAAGGACTGAATCTCTTGCTTCATTTCTCGGTTCAGTTTAGATAGCGAGACAGTTTATGGATTTGAAAAAAAAGATAAGATTGCATTTACATTGAAACAATCACTTTAAGGTTGAAGGCTGTCAGTTTAAATGTGACCGGACTTACATCCAGGGTAAAGTTACATCCCGTTTTACTGTTAATTCATTTAAAAGGAAACAGATACTTAATAAGTGGGACAAAACTGGCTGCAAAAGTACAAAGGTTTTGACCTGTGTTTGTGTGCATCTCCTGCTCCTTCTGTTTTTGTATGCTTTTCCTTACCGATATTGTCAGATACAAAAATCAGTTGTCAAATATTTATAAATATGACTAATCTAATGTTTACTTCAATTAATGAATTAACTGAATGGTTTAGGGTTGACAAATCTAATGGTATCAGATTTGTTTTTTTTTTATAATTGCAAAAAAACAAAAGTAGCATTGAATTAAACATGAAATTAGAAAGACTCAAATGGTATTTTCTTGTAAAACATACTCCAATAATCTTTGTAAAAAAAGTGTCTCACACGGCTCCGGGGGGGGAACAAAGGCCTCCTGTAGCGAATCAATGCATTTTTGTAAGAACAAAGATCCATATTCAAAACGTAATAATCACTTTAATCTAGCTTGCACTCACTGTTGTAAACTAAGCAGCCCCAGGAGCATGACGTATGAGTTTAGCGCTGCGCATGCGCCGGTGAGTCTCGTGAAAACCAATGTTTGTTAACAGGAGCAAAGGAAGCAAAGTTTCCTTACTTTAGCAAAGGAAAACCAGTCTCCTCTTGGCTTATATCAAAATCCTCCGACATTCTTCTTTACAAATCCTCGTTTTGTACTTCTAATTCGTGACCGTTGTTTTGTTTTGATCTCTCCGTGTGCGTCACTTCTGAGCGGCGCATGCGCAACGCTGAACTCATACGTCATGCTCCCGGAACTGCTTCTGTTTACAACTGCTGGCGCAAGCTAGATTCAGTGATTATTACGTTTTGAATATTGATATTTTTCTTACAAAAATGCATTGATTCGCTACAGGAGGCCTTTGTTCACCCCCCGGAGCCGTGTGAGACACTTTTTTTTTTTAATGGAAGGGCGCTTTTTATTTCACGTCTTTTGGACTGAAGGAATGCAACACCCGCTGAGTACAACGATAGAGCTTGAAAGATCAAAGACAATTTTTAATATAACTCCGATTGGATTCGTCTGAAAGAAGAAAGTGATATACACCTAGGATGCCTCGGGGGTGAGTAAAACGCAGCCTAATTTTCATTTTTGGGTGAACTAACCCTTTAATTCCTTTGTTTAACAGTTCTATCTGATTATTAGACCGATTTCTATCCACATTTAGACAGAACTGAACGACGACAGCGAACAAGAGGGAGAATGTGCCGTCTCAGCGCCGTCAAAATAAAAGTCCCGCCTCGAACACATCGGCCAAGCATAAAAACATATCGGCTCATGCCGATATTTGAAAAATATTCATTACTTCATCATTTCTTGCTTGATTTTAATAACGATTCATTAAATATCTGATGTGTTGATGAGAAGTCAAGCTGTGAAAGCTTATAACTGTTTAAATGAGCCGCCATAGTGATGGCAGAAAGCTGGGTCTGAAATCAGTATGATTTTCATTTATAAATAAATTAACTAATAAATCCAAAGAAAGTCATTGACCTAAAATGGACCGCATTGTTTTTTTTCTTCAATATAAGTTTAATGAATTTGATTTTAACATGAATTTATGGAATATACTGGATTCTATAACATGGCAAAGCTAATTAGTAATTAGCTGTTACTTGATTCATCTGCATCACAAAGTCCATCACTCAGCCTGGATCTCTGCTGACATTGGGCGATGATGCTTGCCCGCTGGGTCATTTGTTTTCCCGTTGCATTCAGATTAGCACTGGCCTTCAGATCATGTGGAGTGTTTGGTTGATGGTTTACCACCACAGACTCTGTGAACATTCATTTTCATATTAGTAGATTTGTGTGTAACAGATCCTATCGGTGATGATAACGATGTAACAAAAGCATCAGCTTTCTGTAGCATGTAGAAAGTGCTATAGGTTAGCATGGGTTAAACGTTCAGTGGTTAACCTCTGATCATCAGGGTCTAGCACAGTCTTCTTTAGTCTCGCTGGTTGTTTGACCTCATTGCTGCATTCTTGCCTCTTTACGATCCACCACTGGGTTTCTGGTGCGTCTGTATTTGCTCAGACTCTGATCAGCCTTCTTTCCAGACGCTTTTGTGTGCTCAGAAAAGCTAGCAAGGAAACAGAAAATTGTTGTTGTTGTCAGTTGTTTCTCCAGAAATGAGGGGACTGTGTGGGTCAATATTGTGTGCTGTGACTTACTGCCAGTATAATGAACAGAATTTACTACTGAACTTAGATCAGATTTTATGAGAACATCAGCCAGTTCATTACTGCTACACTGTATCAAATGAATACTGTACAAATGAGTACATGTTTATTGAAATGAAATGTGATGCTTTCATTTTGTATGTAGGCTTTTTTCTATAACTTAAGTAGAGTTTGAAAGCCATTCTTAATTCTGAACTACTGATGTTCCATCTCAAAACTATTTTAATTTCACTTTGAAGTCTTCCCATTGATTCCTATTTTTACTTAGTTTGATTTGTTGCCAAATTGAAAAGGGGACATGTGTCTTGGACTCAAGGTGTGTTTACACTGACAACACGGATCCTTAAACAATAAATACCTCAATCTGGACAGTACAATAAAAATGCATCATCTTCCTGCGTCTTTGTGATAAAAAGATGCAGATAGATCCTCACCCTTTAACTCCCTCTCCTTCCACAACCAAACCGTGACAAACAGGGTTTCTGTAGCACTTTCAGGTTAGTGATTATTCTTCACTTAATATCTGTAGTATCAGTGAGTGTAAAGCACTGAGCCATCGGCGTGATTGTAAATTACTTTCAATGAAAGTCTTGCTGTAAAGGTGACTTTGGTGAAAGCGTTCAGAATAATAATGAGTTTCAGAGTGGACTTTAAGTTTATCATTAAAATAATTATCTTGTACACTCTTAGAAAAAAGTTTTTTTGGGGGGTTCTATATAGAACTTTTTCTTCTAAGAGCGTATCTGTTGTATAGCATCATATTGACATCCTTACAGGTAGTTACTGGAAAATAAAAATCTGTTTTGTATGTGCTTCATTAAATATGGAGCTGTTTTACCCAAGATGCCTTCAAAAAAGCTACCAAAGATGAGCATAACCAATGTCCATCACACACTGACATCTAAAAGTTTTTTTATTATTATTATCATTCTCACTAACATTCGGATATTAAAATCTAATAAAATGGCAAAAAAAAAAAAAAAGTAGGTTAGCTGATTACTTAAAAAGTCCATGGATATTGCGGTCAGTTTATACTGCTGTAAACACTTTCTCCAACAAGCAGATTCAATGAGACCTGTTTACCGTGTTTGTTTATGCAACTTTTGGCATAAAGCTTATTGTGAGTCTTTTGAGAAGGATCTTTTTAATTCATTGATTGATCTTAGCTCTCTGTGAAAGATGTCCATTGAAAATGTCTCCTATTGTGTTCTACAGAGGTCTAGAATGACTTGAGGGTGATGGCAGGTTTTTCGTTTTGTTGGCCGATCTCTTTAAAAAAGCAGAATGTGTGTGTGTGTGTGTGTGAGAGAGTCCCCGAGTGTGCAGTACATCAGGAAAGACCCTCATTTCCCCTGTCATTGCCTTCTCTTATGTTTTATCTCAGTGGCGGCTGCTGCTTTTGCCCGTTTTCCTGCCAGTGGTTTTCGGCTTCATTTGCCGCTCTAATGAAGATTTAGAGGCTCTGGGGTCTCTGACAGAAAAGAGAGAGAGCAGAAAAGAAGGAAAGCAGAAGTGAGAGGCGGCTATAGTGGCGATGAAAATGCAGAAGAGAGACTCCGCTCAGGATGAGAAATGAACACAGATGGAACAACAGTGTTAATAAACAGCATCCCATCTAAGGGACATGCACACCATGAGTCAAATTACAGTGCTCTGCTCAAATCCCAAGTTAGACTCCATTGCATGAAGTGTAGCCAACAAACTACATGCGGTCAAACGGTGAATTTCGATTAAGATCAATTAAGCTAACTTTTTTTTTTACCCCCAAAAAATCTATACTTTTCAAGTTTTATAGAGTTGTTATGGAAATATGTTACATTAATTAGCATAAACATATCTATGACATCTATAAGAAATTAAGATCACTAATAAGGTCCAATTCTCACTATTAACTATGACTTTTGCCTCAAACTCATACTTTGCTGCTTATTCATAGTTAGTAAGGTAGTTTGGGTATGGGGTAGAGTTTAAGGGATCCAAAATATGTTCATGCATAGTAAGCCATTAATATTGACTTTATAACTACTAATAAACAGCCAATATACTAGTAATATGCGACTAGTTAATAGTCCGAATTGGCTCCTAAACTAAAGTGTTAACAAGATTAAATATGGCACTAAAAATGTCTGCCTTTTGGCTGAATCTCTTGTCGTGTCTTTGCAAGACCAGACTCATTTATGTGCAATGAGCTAGTTCTTTTCGAACCCCTTTCAATCCGATCGAAATTTCATTCAGATCGAAATCAATCGAATCGATTGAGGTGTTTACATGCAGACTTTTCAATCTAGTCATCATTATGATTAAAGCAGATTATTGGGGTATATGTAAATGTAGCTACTGCCAACATCCAAAAAACAGATCTATGCCACATGTGAGTAAAACGTCCCCTGTTTGTATCGCAGTAGATTTCGGTGCTCATTTTGAAGGTTTTTAAGTGGAAGTCTTGGCGTAATAAAAGGCAGCGTCATGTAAAGCGAGCGCTCGAGTGCCGAGTCTCTCTCATGCCTCCTCCTGTGTTTAATGGCTGCATCTCCTCTCACAGAGCACTAAGAACTGGAGGGCAGCCGTGGACCTGACGGGCAGACTGCTGACGGCTCACGGCCAGGGCTACGGCAAGAGCGGCCAGCCCACCAACCACACCACTGACTCCCTGCAGGTGAGAAGAAGCACTACCACACCGGGGCCAGATTTAGCTTCTGTCAGGAGTTACTAAAGACACATTGAAACATTTTGGGGTGGAGTAACCCTTTAACCCACCCACTGTGTGTAATACTGAAGATAATGTATGCTCAATATGGAGCGAATACTTGCTAGTTTCATAATACCTGATTTCATCAGTAGATTTTATTACATTACTGGATATGCACTTTATTTAACATGTTGAATGAATGCCATCACAGTAACCTACTATTTTAAATAAAAAAAGCAAAAACAATGTTACTATAGATAATAACATAAATGTTAAACTGTAAAAGCATTTAAAAAGCTTCAAACATTTAAAGTACATTATACAATCAGCAGCATCTGTGTATAACACATTTTTGTATTTTCAGCAAAGCAGAATTAGGAATATTTCTGTGCTGATGTCACCATTGTAAAAAAAATTTAAATGAACATGATTTAAGGAAAATAATTCTAACTAATGTGGATGTGTGATACAGTGCAAAAAACATGGATGCAGTACGCAGCGTTTCTGTGCATTTATATTTTTATATTTTGTGCAAAGGATAAACAACTTACAGGAGTATTCCATGTTTAAGATAAGCTAAATCAACAGCATTTGTAGCAATGTTGATTTACAAAACAACAATGACAACAAAATAAATAAAATTGTTATATTAAAGTGCCCCTATTATGGGTAATGAAAGGTTCATATTTTGGTTTTGCATGCATGTCAACAACAGGTTGACATGCATGCAAGGTCAAAAAACACTTTCATTGTCTTATAATATGCATTTATTTTTACCTTATTTGCTCAGCGATTCATTTTTCCAAATCCCTCCTTTGCATGACGCTAATCTGCGGTGATTGGTCCGATTGGTCTCATTTTCATTTCATCTCGCCTGTGATGCCTGATAAAGCAGCGTTTGTGAGCGCAGTGCTGCTTTGTGTACAGCGTTACCGAGGAAACCGCTATTTTTACTGCTCCAAAAGCGGCACCTAGCGGCAAAGAATGAATTTGCATTTTCATTCAGACCAACGCGAAAATCGACTGATGGTCAAGTTTTCCCGGGTCTGCGCGCGCAACAAGTGGGCGGGCAATATGCTAATGTCTCATGTTGACGTCAACATGAAACGGCTTGGGATTCGTTTTAAAAACGACTCGTTTCAATGATTCAGAGTCGACTCTTTCTTTTGAGAGACAATAACTTTATACACGGTGCACTTTCAGATTTAAAACTTTGCAGGATGTTTTCATTCACTTAGAATTGTGTTACACAATCCATGAAAATACATTTTCAAAAATCCATAGTAGGGGCACTTTAAATATAAATATGCTCTAAAAACAAAAATCTCGGTTAGAGTGAGGCACATACAATGTAAGTGAATGGGATCAAATTCCGGAGGATATATAGGATCAATGATCAACCTTTGAATTGGACTATATTCAACAAGCAACAGTATGAACCCAGTGCGATCTGAGAGCCCATTACCAAAACACACAACCTGCTAAACGACATGAGAGCTTCAGCTCTTTCTCACACATGATGTGCTGTACACGTGAAGTGTCCTGAAGCAGGGTTGGTGTCCGTGTTTTAGGAGCCTCACGTGGCTCCACACATACTGCTGCAAAGAAGAGTTATGCTGTAATACACCCAAACCAGAAAACACTGCTAAACTACCCTTACAGAAAGAAGTAAGTGTTGATTTGGTTTGTTGAAGCAGGCCACTCTCTCTTCTCTCTACAGCTGTGGTTTGTGCGTCTCTCTCTTCTGGTGAAGCTCAACCTTTTCCAGAACGCAGAGCTGGAGTTTGAGCCCTTCGGGAATCTGGATCATCCAAATCTCTACTATGAATACTATCCGACTGTTTACCCGGGAAGAAGAGGTAAGAGTTCTGGAGTTATTTAACTATATTTCATGTGTAAGGTGATGTTAAGATGTTGAGAAATAGCTACCCGTACAATACTGTTCAAGAAGAGTTCAGAAAGAAATCAGTCGTTTTATTAAAAAAGGATGCATCAAATCAATCAATAGTGAGAGTAAAGACATTTAATATGTTATGTAATATGCAGGCTTGGTGAGCAAAAGAGACATCTTTAAAAAAACATAAAAAATCTTACTGTTCAAAAACTTTTGACAGGAAGTGTAGTTCTTTCTCAAAAGCAATCATAATATCAGCCCATCACCCAACAGAGCTTTATTTCAAGACATGCAGATATATATAATATAAAACCTTATGCAGCTGGTCAGGTGAAATCTTCAATCCTCAGGTCTGCATTACAGGATTCGTCCTGATATCAAAGAGGCGCATGATCAAAGCCACGGGCCCTCGTTTCACCAGCATGGAGCGTGTTTCTTGACAGAAAAACAGAAGAGAGAGCATGCATGATATGGTGTTGATATCTCTCTATGTGTTTTCGTTTTGCATGGTCTAGGCTCGATGGTGCCCTTCTCCATGCGTGTTCTGCACGCCGAGCTCCCTCAGTACCTGCAGAAGCCTCAGGAAACTCTGGACCGTCTCCACAGAATAAAGAGCATCTGTCAGAAGGTGAGCGCGGCCTCGACTTGAACTTTACACCTCAGCGCCTGCACCTGCTCGCAAATTGAATTAGCCTCGCTGTAATTAGTGCTGTAAAACTTCAGCTCCTGTCCTTTCACAGATCCTGAGTAACCTGCAGGAGGGTTTAGCTGAGGACGGGAGTATGATGAACCTCACGCAGGACAACAGACTCGGTACAGACCACTCAAATCTCTCCTCTGCAGCTAGTGCAGGTCAAACACATAGTGCTGTTGAGTCCGACAGAATGGAAAATCTGTCACCTTTCACTCACCCTGAAGTCATCACCCTTCAAACTAGTTATTTGTGAGATTTCATATAAGTTAAGATGATTAAATTACAGCACAGACTTTTAAAGAGATTTGCACATATAGACGTAAAACTTTCTTAAAATCTGTGTTGAGGCAAGACTGTAATAAGAGAAAGATGGTACATTGAAGTGTATATTGATCATCTTGCACTCACGGACATAAATTTTTTATATTTTTTTCTAATATTAAAATACTTTCTAACATGAGACAATGCCCTGACTTCCTATTAGGACAAAAATAGGGAAATTATCAACAACAAAAAAGAAAACTGTGCTCGTCATGTATGTTTGAGGTCAAATCCCATGTAAAAAAAATATTAAATACATTAAATATAAAAATAGATATAATTCAATAATAAATATATATATATATATATATATATATATACAGTATATATATATATATATATAAGTTAACATTAATTAATGAAGTAACTAACATTAACAATGAGCAAGACATTTGTTACATTGTTTATTAATCTTTTTTATGATTCATAAAAATACAACTATTCATTGTTAGTTCATGTTATCTCAGGTCCATTAAATAATACTAAGATATACTTTAGATTTTAATAATATATGCTGAAATTAACATTAGGTTAATGATTAAGAATTTTTATTAAAATTAAATGAAAGTAAATTATTTTAATATTTATAAATTAATGTAATTAAAATATTACAGTGTTTATATATGTGACACATTTTTCATTTACGCAAAATGTATTTTAAGATTGGTATTTACTTTCCTGCCCCTTGAAATACATTTTGTAATATATTGACATTTTGTTTAAATTAAATATATTTTCAGTGTGAAAAATACAAGTACTATCTGTCCACAGTATATATTTAGTATATATTTGTAATATATATTGACCATGGAAAAATCGATATATTTTTAAACATCACCATTTGCCATCGCCTTTCAATTTCGAGCCTCTAAGCTTTGTCTGTCCCGTGAGTCTGCTCTCTAAAACACCCTGCGAAGGAGCCGTAGATGGCAGCATAAGATCCCGTCTCGAGCGATCCATCAGAGCTGATAGCTGACGCGTCTGTAAGTCTTGCATGCTCCATTGATTTCCTCACATGTTGTTTTGGTGAAGACAGAGATAAATACATGCTTCAGCATAGCTGTGAGGAGAGTGTGTGATTTCAGCAGCCCCCTGCCGTCTGTGGGTCTGATGTGCTTTCAGCGGGACGTCTGTAGCAGAGCGCTCACCCTGAGCCCTTTCTGTGTGGCTGTTCATTGCTCCTGTTTGCCCCCTGGCAGCATGAGGAAGAGGGGTTCATCAGAGCAGGGCTGATTCAGATAGACCACTTACATCCTATAATCCTGTAACACTGAAGGTGCAAATTTTGTCTGAGCTGTGAGTGCTTCAGGTTCAAGTTAATATAATTTTCAGTATTATCAATATCATTTTCTGTCCTCCATTTAGTATGCAAAAAAAATGCCGAAACCCCAAAAAAACAATGTGACCACAGTAGAAAATGTTTTATTCAGATTTTTATTTTGCAATTCTAATCAATATCTCAGCGATATATATATATATGGTTAATTCCAATTAATTTGATGGACATATCATGAAAATAATTTGGTTACATTAAAAGATCAACACGATCGAAACTTTGCTGAAAAACCTGTTGCATATCATCAGGCTTTTGAGGAGCGTTTATTTTATTGGATTGCATTGCATTTTATGTTTTGATCATTTAAATATCATCTTACTAAGACATATTAATGTTATAAAGATCTCATTGATTTACATTACAAGCATCAGAATTTCATCAAATAAATATCAGCATCTGCACCAAATTGCATATTTTTGCTCAGTTTGTGTCTTTGAATAAAGCTGAGCTGCTTTCTCTTCTTCACGTATGAGCTCTAGATTCTCAGTATATGGTACTATATGAACCATAAAAGCCCGACGTATCAAAATCAATGAAAAAACAGATTTAAAAAACTGTTCCAGTCCAGTAAAAATGATTTGGACAGGGTTGATTGGTTAACAGACCTACTTTTAAAGGGGTCATGAATTGAGAAATTCATATCTTTTGACATATAAAAACATTCCTGTAAGTTTCAGAACTCACAACTTTCCCCGTTAGTCTAAAAACAGCTGATATTGAAGCCAATCTGCTTCTC